GGGTGGTCAGAAATTTGGATTTTTATTCGTCACGCACTTGACTGATAGATTTTCTGCTCGCTGTTAACCAAAAGTATCTCACCGAAAGATGACAGGTCAAGGTGAGGAAATAATAAAAAAGGGATTAAACGCATGAAGGTGATCGAAATAATACTAACTTCCATCCCTGCCTACTTTTGGAACATAAAATAGCGGGATCTCGAACATTTTTTGAAGGTGTTTAAAATAATACTAACTTCCATCCCTGCCTAGTTTTGGAACATAAAATAGCGGGATCTCGAACATTTTTTGAAGGTGTTTAAAATAATACTAACTTCCATCCCTGCCTAGTTTTGGAACATAAAATAGCGGGATCTCGAACGTTTTTTGAAGATGTTTAAAATAATATTAACTTCCATCCCTGCCTACTTTTGGAACATAAAATAGCGGAATCTCGAACATTTTTTGAAGGTGTTTAAAATAATACTAACTTCCATCCCTGCTTAGTTTTGGAACATAAAATAGTGGGATCTCGAACGTTTTACTGCTTATTTTGTTTAAGCGCAAACTACACAATGTGCCCACTGGAAGTATCTAACCCTGCATTCTAGAGTTATAAAAACCTTCAAGCTTACCGTTGTTTCTACGGAGAGGAATTACATAAGCACAACTAGAGTGTACTTAAGAAATATTGATGTGTTTTGAAGAAGAAATATGATGATGATGAAGAAATCCATTATAAAGCGTTATATCTTCTAACAGTTTATAGGTTTTATCACAGTGATTACTTTAAAAGGTTCGTGCTTCCTTTACAGCTACCGTTACACAAATAAAAAAAAACATTTTAATTTGTCAGATCGGAAAAGAATAAGAACAACGGTGGTTAGGTGAGTTTATTTTTACATGTAATACGTTTCTTCTGACAAGTGTCCTTTCTTGTTTTACAACTCTTATTCTTCCGCTTGTTAACATAGTTCCTATAAGTTTGGCACGCTAACTCTTTTATGATAGAGATAATAGTGGCTATAATGAAGTATAAACATACTGTACTTAATCTTTCTTACTTTGTAATAATCACACGTATAGATGTCACGAGACATGCCAAAGTCCGATATCTTGACCGTGAGGTTTTCTCCCACTAAGCAGTTTCTAGTGGCCAGGTCTCTGTGGACGAAGTGTTGAGATGATAAATACGTCATACCCCTAGCGATTTGTGTTGCGAATAGCACGAGGTCGGCCTGCGGGGAAACAATGTATTATCATTATAGCATGTTTCATAACAGGTTTAACATGCAATGTAAAATGTTATTAGCAAGTCGTTACGATAGTTAATGTACAGGCGGAAGTTCTTTAATGTGGATGAAACAAAACATCAAACTGATTCCTGTTGCTATGTTCTTTATTCTGGTCTTTTATTATCTCGGGAGACAATTTTTCCTGTATTCTAGTGTTACCCTACTATTCTATATCCTTATTCTAACCTTGCATCATCTCGAGAGGTATAATTCCTGTATTCTAGTGTGACACAATTTACCCTACTATTCTATATCCTTATTCTAACCTTGCATCATTTCGAGAGGTATAATTCCTGTATTCTAGTGTGTTACCCTACTATTCTATATCCTTATTCTAACCTTGCATCATCTCGAGAGGTATAATTCCTGTATTCTAGTGTGACACCATCCTACTATTTTATATCCTGCTATTAAATCACTTATTCTAACTAAAAATCGTATTTCGCTAAGACGGTACACTCAGTTAGAAAAGTGTAACCAGGCTAACCACAGCGCTCCAAGCGGCAGGTATGATAAAATTCAACCACGTTACTGTTGGCTACTCCTCAAGCAGACTCAAGTACAAAGAGTATCTGCGACTTTAAACACTCGGCATTACATGAAGAAAAACGACATCATATCAATTTGTGGTTTATGTCTTACATAAACATACTAGCTGTCATAATTGTGGTTTAGGCCTCACATAAACATACTAGCTGTCATAATTGTGGTTTAGGTCTTACATATAACCATACTAGCTGTCATAATTGTGGTTTATGTCTTACATAAACATACTAGCTGTCATAATTGTGGTTTAGGTCTAACATAAACATACTAGCTGTCATAATTATGGTTTAGGTCTTACATAAACATACTAGCTGTCATAACTGTCATAATCCTGTGTATCAATAGATTGTATTTATGTAACATTAAATATTTACTGTGCAGTTAATCCTGTGTATCAATAGATTGTATTTACAACTTTTAATAGTACATTTTATGAGTGACAAACATGTTCATATTATGTGTATTTGATAAAGTTCAACAGAAAATATTCAATGTAATATTAAATAAGTATTTGATCTGTTTATTTACAGTAAACAGTTTCAAGTACCTGGATGTAAGTCTTCTTGCTGTAATATTACAACAATTCATATTACGAGTCACAAACTTATTAAAACATTTACCCTTAAATTGAGCCATTCGAACTAAAATTTGTTAAAATGTGGACAGACAGAATTTGATTATTCCACCTACAGATATGATTTCATATAAAAACGAGAAGAAAAAGCATTCCTAGTTGTAAGGAATAAACTCTCGAACATGCCATAAAGTGTGCGATTAAATACACGACTTAATTAGTGCTGTCAAGTCAGCCGCCAAATGGCGTGGTTTAAATTTCATGACATTTGTAGAGATGGGGTAGTGTTTTATTTCAAATTACATTTATTTTATTTCAGCCAATATCTCGCTAAAAACCAGAGCTTGTGTGCTTTGGCCCGGCTATTGGTCTCTTTGGCGTCTACTGCTCGTCTACGTCACCAATATCACCAGGCGACGTCAACAACACCAAATCAAATTCGATGACGAGGAACCCAATTTGAGACTAATTTTATTAACACCAAATGAAAACTTTGCCACGTGCTTCCCGTACGGAGTACTCCCATTTCCCTCTACGCACTTGGATTTAATGATCCCAGCCGTGGCATTGGATTTACAGATCGTTTCTCCCACATCACAATACTAGGCATTGGATTTACGAATCTCAGCCATGGTATTGGGATTTACATATACCTACCAGGACCAAATAAGGCTCGTTTGTTGATAGTTTGTCGATGTCGTACTGTTTCTTCTCATCTAGTCATCAACCTTTCAAGAAACTTTGCCTCCTTCATCTCACCTACTTCGTACATCAAAATCTTATACAAAAGTGCCCTTCCACTATAGTTAATGTACTTGATCGCTAGATAAACAATAATTACCTCTAGCGGGGCGAAGGAAGATAAATATATCTCTGAGCACCCTGGATGTTTACTGTTCGGCGACCGACATTTTTAATGTCGATTGTCGAATTGTTTTCATCTAAATTCCTGTCAGGTTTTTAAGTTTTATTTACAGATCCCAGTCACCCTGTGACCCTGGTCACGGGAAGTTTATTATTATGTGTTTTATTTACAGATCCCAGTCACCCTGTGACCCTGGTCACGGGAAGTTTATTATTATATGCTTTATTTACAGATCCCAGTCACCCTGTGACCCTGGTCACGGGAAGTTTATTATTATATGTTTTATTTACAGATCCCAGTCACCCTGTGACCCTGGTCACGTGAAGTTTATTACTATATGTTTTATTTACAGATCCCAGTCACACCATGACCCTGGTCACGGGAAGTTTATTACTATATGTTTTATTTACAGATCCCAGTCACCCTATGACCCTGGTCACGGGAAGTTTATTATTATATGTTTTATTTACGGATCCCAGTCACCCTGTGCCCCTGCTTTGTCGCATTTTTGTCACCTTCCTTCTTCTCAATGACGTCATCGGCCTTGGTCTTCTCTCTGCCCTGAAACCCCCTGGACATGACTCTTTCATCTCTCCAATCTCAAAGCTTTAAAATCGCCAGAAGACAACATTATGGCGAAAATTAAATAATTCTCGAATGTAACAAATAAATTAACGCGAGCGGGGCGAAGGGGGGGGGTACTAAATTCACCGAACACCCCAGTTTAGGAAGGTTTCTTTCCTTTAAAAACTAAATCCCTGTCACAAAATTTTCGTGTGATATTTTTGTCCCCCACCTTCCCGTTTTCTCCCTTCTCTTCGGACGGCTTCTCACTCTCGGGAGAATCACATAGTTAGAAACTTCAACTAATTATATTCTCTCAAATCAAACGGATCCTTTAGCCCCCTTGGTCAACATCCTAATCCCCTCCTTTAGCCCCTTGGTCAACAGCCTAATCCCCCACTTGCGGGATGAAGAGAAACAAATAGTTTCTGAGCGTCCCATATTTCCCTGTATTGCGAAGTTGACGATGACGACGATGAGATAGGTGGCCCTGCTGTGCAGAAGTACCTTTATGGCTCTAACACAGTACTTCTCCACCCCATACACAGGCCCGATCAACCCCAACGATTCTACGGCAATTCTCTTGCGGCGAGACATTAAGAAGGACGGAGAACATCAAACGACCCCAAACCATCACTTCTATTACACGGCCAGCGATAGCTTCAAACAAAAAGTTCGCAAAGCAAACAAGTGCGATGCGCGCTTCGCGTAAAGCGAAAAAACGAGTAAGTTCAATTCAAGAAAAACGAAAATGAAACCCACACCGTCATCATCAAACGGTAAGTCCAGTATAGGTGGCCTTTTCATTAATGGTAATAACCAAATATCATCTAACTTATCTATTATTAGCTGCAGTAAACATAAATTTGCAAGACTAAGCCCTGATAAAAAGTCAGAACCATCTAAATCGTAACCAAGTCCCGAGAATGAAAATAAACAAAACGGTGTAGATAAGATAACGTGACCGAATCAACGGAGAAATTAAACAGTAATGTATAAAAATAAAGATGGTGACAGACGTGGAGAAAAATACACAAAACTTAACAAGAAAACACAAAACAACACAGAAGAAAACACAAATGAATGTGAATCCGGCTTCATCACAGTCACAAGAAAAACGATAAGTAAGATAACACAAAGATAACACAATCAGCCCCACCAAAACGTACCATTATCATCCCAAGTACGTACAAATAATAACAATTAAAAGATGCAAACCAAACTCAAACACCATACATATCAAACGAAAGGCAAGAATCTTTGTAAAGACCTTGACATCCTACTCAAGAATGACCCAAGGACGCCTTTCAACAACTACCCGTAAACAAACCCCCAGCTAGAGCCTCTGTTATCCGAGGCATATACTACACAATATATGCGGAAGACGTGATGATTTTGTTTGCTACTTTCGTGGGGAATTTAAATTTTATCAGAGGATTTTGGTCTTACCTTGTCCAGTGAGTTTGAAGACTTACTGGAGAAATGAGAGAAACAGAGGCATGTCCGGAGGGTTCCAGGGCAGAGGGAAGAACTAAGGCTGATGGCGAGCGGAGCGAAGGGGGATAACAATAACCCTGAACACCCCAGTTGAGGAAAGTTTCCCAAATTCCTGTCACGAATTTTTTTTAGGGGGGAAGGGAGGTACTGTCCGACACTAACATTCCACACACAAAAGTGTAAAGAATCATCTCACTACGAACAAAAAACATCTACAAGCTTAATAAAAGTAAACACAGAAAACACCCACAATATTCAATGGTATTATATTATGGAACCAACATTGTGGTCACGTAGCTGCAGCTTGTAAGTCACAGCCAAGATGCGTTGCTTGTGGTCTAAACGACAATGTAAAACAATGGCCAAAAACACATGAATAACCAAAATGATGTAACTGTAATGAAAACCGCAGTGCAAACTATACAGTATGCACTAAATATAAACCCATAAAACAAACCTTTCTAATATAAGGAACAACACACAAGTCCAACAGCTACAGAATGACACAGACAAACAATAAAACAAACATACAGTAAACACTACCAACAACCAAGATACCTCTCCTACCAACGCCTAAAAATACTGAAACCGCAAAAACATACGAAAAAGTAGGTTCCAACGAAACAATAAGCAAACTATCCCAAGAAAAAATAAACTAAGAATCTGAACAAAAGACATTGAAGAAGGACAAAACTAACCACTTCATAAACGTTCTAAAAAACTTGGTAACTGATTTGTTACAGAAGTCAGTAACCCACAAACAGAAAGATGACTTCATAACAATAATGATAAATATACCGATTTGTCACAGAAGTCAGTAATCTACAAACAGAAAGATACTTTATAACAATAATGATAAATATACCGATTTGTCACAGAAGTCAGTAACCCACAAAC